AGCCGCGGGGCCGCGCGCCAGGCCGCGGGGCAGCCGCGAGGCTCTGCGAGGCGATTCGCAAACCCCGCGAGGCTCCCGCAGCGCTTCTGGCTTCTTCCCGGGCACCGAAGCAAAACTCCTTTCAAGGAAGTTTGCATGCAGGGCTCTTCGCAAAGCCTGGCGCCCATCAGGGCCATGTGCCCGTAGAGCTGTGTGCCATCTCTCTCACTCTGCTGTACTTGAACTGCAGATTTGGGGCTGATACTGGAAGTGTGAAATGACACTTTTTGGCCTAGATATCGTGGCGTGTCAGACCTGATAACAGCAGTGCTGCTCCGCTGCCACACATCCTGCAGCAGTGCGGTGGTGGAGTGGGACTGCCCCGATGGCCACAAGCAAGAGCTCGAGTCACTGCTACCCTGAGCACCGTCTGGCTGGGCAGGAAAGCTGCACACGCAGATGCTCCCTGGTGTCACCACGATGCAGAGCTGCATGGGATGGCATGTCAGACCTGGCAGCTGGGTGCATTTCTGTCAGTGAGACACCACTGACATAGGGGCCATTGTGGAGGCCAGCCCCACGTTGCTGGTGTGGGCTGGGGGGTTGGCTGCATCCCCCTTCCCAGCAGGAACCCTGGGACTGGTGCCTGCTAACAGCCCCACGTGGGTCACGCAGGCACGACATGGTGGGGCAGGGGCATCAGGATGTGCTAAAGGGTCTCTCTTGCTTTCTCCTTGCTTGCCCTGGCTCTTGAAAATAGGTCCAATACCTTGTTTCATTCTCTGTAACCCAGTGGCAGCAATAAGGAAACAGCCTGCGGTCTGCCCTCCCTTGCACTCCTCTCTCCTAATGTGTCTCCAGACTTCCGAGGTCCCCAGGCTCTGTTCACTGCCAAATGCAGAGATTTAAAAGACTTGAGGGGTGTTTTGAGCAGGCTGGAAAGGGCACAGAGTGAGTGGATTTAGCATGGGACCAGGGGCACTGCTCTTGCACATGGCACAAGAGATGCTGTGGACATGCTGCTCAGTCAAGCCCTTGGCCCAGGGCTGCAACTTGCTCCCTTGCAGCAAGGCAGGGGCAGCAGGGAATGCAGCAGAAAGCCTGCACGTTATCTCCATAGAAAAGAGCCATTTCTTTCCAATAAAAGCTCCCAGGTTTGGTGCAAGCGACTTCCGCTTTGCTTGACTGTGGTATGGGCTCCTCTTTGTGCTAGGAAGTGCTCTGGCCTAGCCCCCATGCAACATGCTTGCCCATGCTCGTGTCCCCTGCACCACA